GGAGTTTACTGTTACCGAGTCATGCCCTTCGGACTTAAAAATGCCGGGGCTACGTACACCCGAATGGTCGCCCGGTTGTTCCAACACCTGCTTGGGAAATCGATGGCCGCGTACGTCGACGATATGCTCGTCAAGAGCCAGGAGGAGGACAAGCATGCGGAGGACCTGGCCGACTGCTTCAAGGTAATGATGAAATACAACCTTCGGCTGAACCCCAAAAAGTGCGCGTTCGCCGTCCAAGGTGGCAAATTCTTGGGCTACATGGTCACCAAACGAGGCATCGAGCCTAATCAGGAGAAAATACAGGCCATCATCGACATGCAGCCTCCTACCACCGTCAGGGACCTAAAACGGTTGACTGGCCGATTGGCCGCCTTTAGCCGCTTCTTAAGCAAAGCGGTGGATAAGACCGTGCCTTTCTTCGAAGCCATGAAGAAGAAGGAGGGATTCGCTTGGACTGCCGAATGCCAACAATTGTTCGAGGAGTTGAAACAGTACCTCTCAACGCCCCCAGTGCTGTCTACCCCCCAGGTGGGTGAGCCCTTATTCTTGTACCTCGCCGCCTCAGCCAAAGCAGTGAGTTCGGTGTTGGTCCGAGAGGAGGACCGAGTCCAGCACCCGGTTTATTACGTAAGTCGCTCGCTGAAGGCCGCTGAGACGCGGTACACCGCTCTGGAAAAGATTGTGTATGCATTGGTAGTCACCGTGCGCAAGCTGGCACCCTATTTCCAAGCCCATACCGTTCGAGTTTTGACAGACCAGCCGCTCGGAATCGTGCTAAGAAACCCCTTGTCCTCCGGCCGACTTGTAAAATGGGCCGTAGAGTTGACTCAGTATGGGATTGAGTACCAACCCCGGCCTTCCATTAAGGGTCAAGCCTTGGCCGACTTCCTGGTCGAATGCACAGCAAGTGAGGAAGAAAAGGAACACGCCTCGGAGAGCTGCCCAGGCGAGTGGTGGGAAATGCACTCGGATGGAGCATCGAGTCGACAGCACTGTGGAGGCGGTGTCATGCTCATTACTCCGGAAGGATTCCGGCTATATTACGCTCTGAGATACTTGTTCTCGACATCAAATAATGAAGCCGAGTACGAAGCGGTATTAAACGGCCTCCGACTCGCCAAGGCCCTGGGAGTCGAGCGGCTGCGAATCAAGACTGACTCCAGACTGGTAGTCGGACAGATCTCGGGTACGTGTGAAACTAAGAATGCAAGGATGGTACTATACAAAGAGCGTGCGGTCGAGATGTTAAAAGGGTTCGGGGCTTACGAGATAGAGTGCATACCCCGAGCGGACAACATGGAAGCCGACCTATTGTCCAAAATTGCCCTGGAAGGGGTACCGGACCACCTGATAAAAATTTGCCAGAAGGAGGAGCTAAATCGGCCGAGTGTTGAAGAGACACCACTGGAAGTCCAGCGAGTAGATATCGAGGAATGGGATCGAGGAAAAAATCCCGAAATGTTCTGGATAGAGGATATCCGGCGATTCATAGAAAAAGGCGAGTTACCGGAAGACCCAGGAGTCGCCGCGAGAGTTCGGCGGAAAGCCCCTTCCTTCCAGATCATCGACGGACAGCTATACAAACAGTCGTTCGGAGGACCCTTACTAAAGTGCCTGCTTAGACCTGAGGCCGAGAAAATAATGGACGAAGCTCATAGAGGCATTTGTGCCGCGCACCAGGGCGCCCATACACTCGCCCGGAAGTTAGTCGTTCAAGGGTATTATTGGCCGACCATGATGCGAGACTGCATCGAATGGATGTCCAGGTGCGGCGTTTGTCAAGCATTCGCCAGGAAAGACACCCGGTCGGCCACCTTTTATACACCGGTCACCACTACCATCCCCTTCGCCAAGTGGGGAATAGACTTGTTGGGGCCATTGCCCGTCGCCCCGGGAGGTCTGAAGTTTTGCGTCGTGGCTATCGACTATTTCACCAAATGGGTCGAAGCAGAACCATTGGCTACCATCACTGAGTACCAATGTCGACGTTTTCTATGGAAAAGGGTGATATGTCGCTTCGGCCTGCCCGAGCACATCGTCAGCGACAACGGGCGACAGTTTGACTGCCAGGCCTTCGCTGACTTCTGCCGCCGACACGATATCAAGCATACCAAGGTATCAGTGGCGTACCCACAAGCCAATGGGCAGGTCGAGAATGTAAATCGAACGTTGGTCGATGGGATCCGAAAGAAGCTCGAAGACATCCGAGGAAGATGGGCGGACGAGCTTGACCGTGTCCTATGGGCTTATCGCACTACCCAGCGGCGAGCGACGGGGGAGAGCCCGTTCTCACTCGCATACGGCTTCGAGGCCAAGGTTCCAGTCGAAGTAGTCGAGCCCACCCACCGGGTTCGCACCTACTCGGATGCAGCGAACGAAGAGAATCTGCGGATCGAGAAAAATTTCCTAGAAGAAAGGAGGGAAGCCGCGAGTGCACGGATGGTTGAGTACCAGCAGGCGGTGAAAAGATATCGCGACCGGAGGACTCGCCCGCGAACCTTCCAGGTCGGCGACCTCGTGTTACGCGATCGACAGGCCAGTCAGCCCACCGAAGGGGGCAAGTTTGCGGTTAAGTGGGAGGGGCCATACCGTATTGCAGTGGTGGTCCAAGCCGGAACCTATAAGTTAGAGACTATGGGAGGTAAGCCCACAGATCGCATATGGAATGTCACTCATTTGAAAAAGTTCTATCAGTAGAAAAGGATAGGCCGTGTACGGGCTCGAGGATTCCAAAAATCTAAATAAAACACATGGGTTACAGCTAATCATCCCAGGGACTCGGCAAGAAAAGATAGGAAACAAGGGCCCAGACCCTTAGACGTTTCCGAGAAAAAGCCTACAGGAGTCGCCTCGACTGAGGGACTCGGCGAGTATTGAGAGAAACGACGGGGCACTGACCCTAAACTGTTTCTGGGATTGAAAAAGCCTAATGGGTCGCCTTGACTGAGGGACTCGGCAAGAAAAGATAGGAAACAAGGGCCCAGACCCTTAGACGTTTCCGAGAAAAAGCCTACAGGAGTCGCCTCGACTGAGGGACTCGACGAGTATTGAGAGAAACGACGGGGCACTGACCCTAAACTGTTTCTGAGATAGAAAAAGCCTAATGGGTCGCCTTAACCGAGGGACTCGGCAAGAAAAGATAGGAAACAAGGGCCCAGACCCTTAGACGTTTCCGAGAAAAAGCCTACAGGAGTCGCCACGACTGAGGGACTCGGCGAGTATTGAGAGAAACGACGGGGCACTGACCCTAAACTTTTTCTGAGATAGAAAAAGCCTAATGGGTCGCCTTGACCGAGGGACTCGGCAAGAAAAGATAGGAAACAAGGGCCCAGACCCTTAGACGTTTCCGAGAAAAAAGCCTACAGGAGTCGCCTCGACTGAGGGACTCGGCGAGTATTGAGAGAAACGACGGGGCACTGACCCTAAACTGTTTCTGAGATAGAAAAAGCCTAATGGGTCGCCTTGACCGAGGGACTCGGCAAGAAAAGATAGGAAACAAGGGCCCAGACCCTTAGACGTTTCCGAGAAAAAGCCTACAAGAGTCGCCTCGACTGAGGGACTCGGCGAGTATTGAGAGAAACGATGGGGCACTGACCCTAAACTGTCTCTGAGATAGAAAAAGCCTAATGGGTCGCCTTGACCGAGGGACTCGGCAAGAAAAGATAAGAAACAAGGGCCCAGACCCTTAGACGTTTCCGAGAAAAAGCCTACAGGAGTCGCCTCGACTGAGGGACTCGGCGAGTATTGAGAGAAACGACGGGGCACTGACCCTAAACTGTTTCTGAGATAGAAAAAGCCTAATGGGTCGCCTTGACCGAGGGACTCGGCAAGAAAAGATAGGAAACAAGGGCCCAGACCCTTAGACGTTTCCGAGAAAAAAGCCTACAGGAGTCGCCTCGACTGATGGACTCGGCGAGTATTGAGAGAAACGACGGGGCACTGACCCCAAACTGTTTCTGAGATAGAAAAAGCCTAATGGGTCGCCTCGACCGAGGGACTCGGCAAGAAAAGATAGGAAACAAGGGCCCAGACCCTTAGACGTTTCCGAGAAAAAGCCTACAGGAGTCGCCTCGACTGAGGGACTCGGCGAGTATTGAGAGAAACGACGGGGCACTGACCCTAAACTGTTTCTGAGATAGAGAAAGCCTAATGGGTCGCCTCGACCGAGGGACTCGGCAAGAAAAGATAGGAAACAAGGGCCCAGACCCTTAGACGTTTCCGAGGAAAAGCCTACAGGAGTCGCCTCGACTGAGGGACTCGACGAGTATTGAGAGAAACGACGGGGCACTGACCCTAAACTGTTTCTGAGATAGAGAAAGCCTAATGGGTCGCCTCGACCGAGGGACTCGGCAAGAAAAGATAGGAAACAAGGGCCCAGACCCTTAGACGTTTCTGAGAAAAAGCTTACAGGAGTCGCCTCGACTGAGGGACTCGGCGAGTATTGAGAGAAACGACGGGGCACTGACCCTAAACTGTTTCTGAGATAGAAAAAGCCTACAGGGGTCGCCTCGACCGAGGGACTCGGCAAGAAAGAGTTAGGAAGCAAGGGCCCGGACCCTTAATCGTTCCTGTGGAAAATCCTTGAAGAGTCGCCTCGACAGAAGGACTCGGTGAGCAGTTAAAAGAGACTAGGTTAAAGAGAAAAGCGTCGAGCTCAAGATAATACGAAATGGAAGAGAAAAGGGGAATTTCATTAAAAGAGGCCCGAAAAGGAGGCCAGCCTTTACAAAAAGGGGGCTATCCCAAACAGAATAGCCCTAAACTACTGGGGAGGGGGTGTCGACATCAATCCCTTCGACTTGGGCCCTTGCCGTTGATCCAGTCAGGGGAACAGAAGAAGGGTCCTCGGCCTGAAGAGAGGACTCGGCGAGCTCAGGAGGTGTTGCTGAAGGAAGAGTCGTTGGGTCAGAGGCTGCCGGAAGAGCTGCCGGGTCCCCAGCCGCCGACTGTCCTTCAGTCGCCGGAAGAGCATCTATCACGGGCTTGAGGCCCCAGCTCTAGGGAGTGAAAGAGGAGTCGTGGACCAGCAAGGCAGAATGGATCTCTGTCTGCGCCTCGCGAAAGCCGAGGCGATAGTCGCGCTCGCCCAAGTCCAGGAGGAACTCGTCACCATCCGGCGTCGACAGCCACTCCTTAGCAATCTCTTTTTGGCGAGCCTCTATCGCCGCCTTCACCTCTGCCTCGAAGGCAGCCGACTTCTTGTACTCCTCAACAGAGGTCGCAGCAATCGTCGCCACCTTGTCTCGCTCTTCCTCCCACTGACGGGTAACTCTCAACATCTCGGAGTTGTGCACCTCCACCGCCTTGAGGTGCTTCGCCTGCTCTTCCAAAAAGGCCTCCTCCGTCTGACGCAGCTTGAGGGCCAGAGACCGCATGTCGGTCCTGTAGTTCTGCAGCCGCTTACTCATCTCCATCTGGAAGGTGAGGTTCTGCGAAACGGACACGAGTCAGATAAGGAAAGGGAAGGACGAAGGGAAAAAGTTAAGTGGAGAACACTTACGCGGTACGACTGGCGCAGTGAGGCCTCGAGGATGTACGCGTCCCCCAGAGCATGAGTCGCCTCCACGTCCTTAGGCAGAAGGACGTTAGCACACCACTTACGGACGGAGGAGGTGCCCATCCAGATCTGGGCATCCTCCTCTACCTCATGGCACAGCCGGATCCTTTTTGGAGCCGGCTCATCAGTTTGACCAGCCGGGCGCTTCGAGCCGGGACTCTCTGTCTGAGGAGGAGGTGGTTGTCGAGTGGGCGACACCACTGGCGACGGGGTCAGATCCACCACGTTTCGAGGTGGAGGAGGAGTCGGCCTGGGAGCCGGAGACGGTAGGGAGGAAGAGGCAGCAACAGTACCGGAAGTGCGTTGGATCAGCCGACGCCTCATCTTTTCGGCTCTATCTGCCATCTCGGGAATCGGTTCAACCGCCTCGTCGGAGCTGGAGGAGTCGGAGTCGTATGGACCTGTAAAAAGGAAAGAGAAACCATGAGGTGTTTCGAGTCGGAATATGGCAAGACAGGAAAAGAAGAAGAATGAGGGGTAACAAAGACTACCTACGGTGGCCGCACCCTCCGGTAGCAAGCCACGCTTAGCCATGGCCCGGACTCGGGACTAGTACTTAACAGAGTACGGCCCAAAGCCCTTCAAGAACTCGCCGCCCAGGACCGCATCATCAGAAGGAACGGCACGTCGAGAGCAAGGCTTGAATAGAGCGGCCGGCCACAAGGTCGGAAAAGTGAAGGAAGAAAAAGCAGGGCGAACGAAGAAATAGAGGAGCTTCCAATCCTTAATGGAATCAGACAGCCCCTCGAAAAGCTGCCGCCCCGGGCGAGCGGCGACTTGGACGAAGCCCGGCGAGTGCGAGCAGACCTTGTTCACGGTAAAAAGATACCGGAACAGGTCAAGGTCAGGCTCGCACAACCACCAGTGGCAGAGGTTGACGAAGCAAGTGAGGAGTCGGTGAGAATTGGGCACCAGCTGGCCCGGAACTAGGTTGTAATGGCGGTAAAAAAAGGGAAAGAAAAAAACACGGGGGAACTCGGAAGCCAAAAGCGACCGAGTGTAAATGAATACCGACATAACCCTCGGGAGGGTCGTAAATTTGCCGGCCCTCCGGGGCAAGGACTACGGCAGAAGGCCCAAGAAAATATCGGGCCATTTCCAGGTCCACCGCATTAACGACGGATGGTGACCCAGAAGGGCGGACGATGGAATCGAACTTACCTCGCGGCCGTCCGACGCCACCCGGCAGAGCCGCCACCGTCGTTAGAGGAGCGGGGCTCAGCGGAGTAACCGCCCCCGAAGAAGAGGGGGTCGGTGGAAGAGAAGATGTCGATGGAACGTCCGCCGGAAGTTCCATACGACAAGGAGAGGACGTCGATGGAATGTCCGCCGGAAGTTCCATACGACGGGGAGGAGAAGAGGAAGACGAAGAAGGAGAAGACGAAGAGGGAGAAGTCGTCTCAAGGTTATCGACCGAGTAACGACGAGAAGAAGAAGAATGTGAGGAAGAAGACATTACCTAAGTTAGGAGAGAGATCGGAGGAAATACTGAGTGGCCGGAGAAGCTCAAAGTTGAAGCTGAGAAGAAAGACTGGAGAAGAAAAGGGAAGGAGAGACGAAATGGCTATTTAAAGGGGAGGAATTTCAAAGGACGGCCACGTGCCGCCTTCTCATTGGAGGAAGAAGAGGTGACGAGACGTGAAGGGACGCCGCATTTAATGCCTCAAAAGGCGGGGCGACGGTTCAGGACTAGGGTTAGCCTACAGACGGCGCCTCTGTCATAGGTTAAGGGTCGAACGTCAAGCGACCCGGCCTGCTAAGCCGGAAGCCCGTAGTGGGCCATGGCCTCCGGGCCCATGTGATACGAGCTGGAAGCTTCCAGAAGGACCCGATAGAACCCGGCTCATCGAATGATATCAGCCGAGTTCACGAAGAGACTCCTGTAACCAGGTCGACGATCGGACTCGGCGACTCCCCAGCAGGAGGACCTCTCCATAACAAGACTAGGCGTTGGTCTCATAGATCCAAGGTCGGGCGACAAAATAGTAAGAAATTGCGGGGTCAGATAGAAAAGCACACAGTTTATTTAGTTAGTACGAAGATTACAAGGCCCAAAGCTCGGCCGATGCAAACTACAAAAGAAAAACAGAGTCATGGCTTGGCTTCCTTCTCTGTCGACGAGCGGGCAGCCAGAGGACCCTCTAGAAAGTACTGGGGGCGGAATGGTAGAGGACTCGGCTCAGGCTCTGGCATCTCGTCTAGATACACGGCCGGCTTCCCATCGTCAATCATTTGCAGAGGCCTCTCCAAAGCGCTCGGCGACATGGCAACACCAAAGAGGGGAGGAGCCTCCCACTTCTCTTCCACCATTGGTTCTGGATCCTCCACCACAGGCTCCATCTCCACATCGATAGGCTCCCTACACATCAGGTCCAGCATGTCTGGAGGCACCACGATGGGGTCTGAAGCCGAGTCGCCCACCAAACGACCTCCGTTAGCCAGCCTCTTCTGCCTCAACTGCTCCAGTCGAGCATGCTCCTTGTTGCGAATGGACCAGCGGCGATCACCATCCCTGTAACTCATAGCGCCGTGCTTTCGCAAAATGAAGAGTGTTGCGATTTGCATCAACTGTGAAGGGTCTTTATATAGCCCAGGGAAGGCGAATATCTAGGCGATAATCACGGAGGAGACTGACGTAACTGAGCCTGGTTGGACGGATGACGCGAATCTTTGTCAGAGATTAGTTCCATCAGATCCGCCCGGGAAGAGCAAGATTCGCACGCCAACATAGAGAAGATTGGATTTACCCGAGCTATGGGGAATCTTGCAGGTGTCAGACTGAAAAGAACCTGATGATGTGACCGACTCCTTGACCAGTCGTCCGGATGGGTACGCAACAAAACACGACAAAACATAAGGCAAGACGAAAATAGCGCTTTTATTATTATTATGGAAAAGGAGGGTACAAGCAGCAAGGAGCTTATTACAATAAGGAATATGAAAATGCTCCTAAAAGAGATTCCTCCGAGCTATGACCGACTCCGGTACATAAGATCACTCGCCAGGCGAGGAAGAGTCGCCCCCAAAGAATCCCCCCGATGGTCCTGGGGGAGAGGGGCAGAACGAGTCCCAGAAAGCTGGCATGAGCGGTGGCGCAATGGGTTCCTCATCATCCGGATACGCCTCCAGGTAGCGGGCGTAATCCTCGTCATCCATTAGGCCCGTGACCGGCCCGTTCAGGTCGTCCAGCGGGATGGAGAAAGTCATTTTGAAGGTAAGTTGTTCTGGAACCGCCACCTCGACGAAGGACCCGTCTGGGGAAGTCACTCGGGCAGTTGTGGGCGTAGACGTATGGCGTGAAGGTGGAGCGACCTCTCGTGGAGAAGGGGTCGGCGGCCGAGAAGCCGAAGAAGCAGCGCCAACTGGGGACCTCTGGGAAGCTGGGCGAGGAGCCTTCTTTTTATGTTCCCTTTCAGGCCGGGTCCGCTTAGAAGGCAGCGGACGCCAAGGAGACCCGAAGTCAATTCGCTTTCCTTTCAAAGGAGAGCGACCCATGATGAACTTGTGAAGATAAGAGAGAAGGGAGGAGGCCATTTATAGGTACCAAGCCTAGACGGAAGAATCCCAACGGCTCCGCGAGATCCGGGGAGAATGACTGACGATCCGGACGTTACAAGGGGCTATTCAGGGCACGGATACGGTAATTAAAGGAGACGAGCGGTTGCTACTTTTCCAAACCCAGGTTGGAGGACCGGGTATGGAAAAGTGAGGGACTAGTTGATGGGGTAAGAACCCCGGCCCAAGAGATAGGGGCCCAAAGAAAATAGAAGTGGGCCAGCATCGAGAGGAGCCCAAAGAGCAATCGGGCCGAGTCCAGGAGTCGGCCGAGGCCCAAGCCCAGGAAAAGACTCGGCTCGAGGAGCCGTTGAGGGCATTAAAGGGGTTCCTTTAAAAGAGAGTCGTTGAGGCATTGAAGGCAGGGCCCGGTCGGGCTGTTACAAGCCTAGGAGAGCCGTTGGTCGATCGAGTAATGGCGTCCAACGGCTCCATATCTTAATTAGCCTTGAAGTCGGCCATTAAGGGCCTTCAAGTCGGCAGAGGAGGAGCCACTATATAAAGGCTCCTCCATTCTTGTAAAAGGTAGACATTTTTGGACACCCGGGAGAGGGGTAAATAACAAAGAAATTCCGAGCACTAGCATTACCTCTAAGTTAGACGTACATTTTATTGAGAGGTGTATCCTCCGACCAAAGGTTGTGTTGGACCTCCTTGGGCCCGAAAACCCTAAAACCATCAACAGCCATCCCATAATTCTTGTCCAATCGCATCGCATTACGATCAACTCACTATTATATCTTCAACAAATCATTAAGGTAGGTATATTAAATCACTAGTACAAGTTTATCAAGTCACTACTATAATAATAATAATAATAATAATAATAATAATAATAATAATAATAATAATAATAATAATAATAATAATAATAATAATAATAATAATAATAATAATAATAATAATAATAATAATAATAATAATAACAATAATAATAATAATAATAATAATAATAATAATAATAATAATAATAATAATAATAATAATAATAATAATAATAATAATAATAATAATAATAATAATAAAACGGTTCTCTCTCTAGTTTTCTCTGGAGAATTTTCTCCCTGTCTTCGAGGGTTGTTTCATCGTTGTTTCTCGCTTGATTTCCATCATCGTCATCTAGTTTCTTCTTCCGTTGCCTATGTTTTATGGATGTTCAAACTTTGGAATCTGGATGTGCTAGTATAACCCTCGCCGAGGAAGAGTCTGGAGGGTTGGATGCACCCGATTCTGATCATGCAAGTGGCAGTATTACCTACTGGGAATTGGTTGGGCGACTTCAAACTGATCGACCTGTTAAGTTTGACCAACTTCAACAAGTTCTAGCGTGTGTCTGGCGACCAGTAATGGGGGTGAAAATTATCCCAATTTCTGATAATCTCTTCGTGTTTCAATTCCCACATGCACGTGACATGCAACGTGTTCTCGGCCAAGGTCCATGGTCATTTGAGAATCAATATCTTGTGTGCAAACAAATCTCACGTGGAACTCGTCCAGAATCTGTTCTGTTGGACACTTTGGATTTCTGGGTCCAAATCTTTGATTTCCCTTCGATGCATGCCAAACCAGAATTCATTGAACAGATAGGGAATTATGTCGGTAAGTTTGTGAAATCTGATCCCAATAATTTTAACCGATCTTGGAAGAGTTCTTACTTTCGCATTCGTGTGACGCTTAAACTTCATGAACCTCTTAAGCGAAAGATGAAGTTGCGTATGCGGGATGGCAGTTATCAGTGGATCACTTTTAAGTACGAACGGTTAACCACTTTTTGTTTTTGTTGTGGCTTAATTGGACACTCTGAGATGTTTTGCCGTAAGGTCTATGAAGAAGGGGTGGATCCTAAGGACTATCTTTACGGTGCATGGTTGAGGGCTGGTTCGCGAAAGCAAACAAAGCCGGTTGGTGCAAATTGGCTCCTTGCAGATCTCCCGGCACAACTAGTATGTGTTCCCACAACGCCGGCAATCCCTTCGACTTCCCATGCAACTGTGGAAAACTACTTTACATAACGGATTTGAAACGTCGCCGTGAAGGAAATGATTTTGTGAATACCTCTTCTACATGTGATACTGTTATGTTGGAAGGTTCAAAAAACTCGGATGTGGCGGGTCTAGATGGCCAGACTCGCCCGAATCAATGAGTACATTGTCTTTGAACTACCGGGGATTGGGTGGCCTGCGGACAGTTCGTGAATTAATGGGCTTCGTGTCCAATAAACGACCCAACTTCGTTTTCTTAATGGAGACGAAGGCTCGCAAGGCAAAACTGGAATAGGTTCGATTATGATTGGGGTATGAAGGTTTGATCTCTGTGGATAGAGTCGGATTAGGTGGTGGATTCGCTCTGTTGTGGGAAGAATCTGATATGGCTAAATTAATTAGCTTCTCTAACAATCATATCGATGTGGAGGTGACTATTTCTGATAAACCGCATGGCGTTTAACATGTTTTTATGGGCATCCTGAAAGATCGAAGAGACAACAATCATGGGACCTTTTACGTGAATTACGATCTCACTCATCACTTCCCTGGTTGGTAATTGGGGACGTCAATGATATTGCTGCTCATACTGAAAAGAATGGCTCCATCGCACACCCTCATAGTCTTATATGGGGATTTAATGAGCTCTTAATGATTGTGACTTATCTGATATTGGCATGCGAGGTCACCCCTACACCTGGGAAAAGGGACGGGGTACAGATTCCTAGATTGAAGAACGTCTATACCGTACTGTGGTCTCCCCAGATTGGCTGGATTTGTTCCATGATGTTATACTCAATAATATTCACGCCATTTCTTCAGATCATAGTGCGATTTTATTAGATTTACAAGGCTCCCCCATACGACGAGGTATAAGAACTTTTAAATTTGAGGCGTCATGGCTTCTTGATGCTAATTGTAAGCAGGTGGTTGAAGCTTCTTGGAGGCAAACACGCGGTTTAGAATTCCAGCAGCGATTGCTTAAATGTGGCCAGAGCTTAACTCATTGGAGTGGAGACCATTTCAAGAGATTTGGTCGACGTATTTCCAGATTAAAAGAATCACTTGAATTTATGAGGGGTAGTCGTTCGCCTGCAGATGTCAATGCGTACTATGAAGCCAGCGTAAGAGATTGAATTATCTACACAGACTGAAGGATGATAATGGTAATTATGTTGATGGCAAGTCAATGCATTCTGTGGTCTTGGAGTATTATAAAGATATTTTTCGCAATTCATCATATCATGCTAGGCTCATGAATGGAGTGACATCACGAATTTCTCATGATATGAATATACAATTGCTCCGTCCGATTGAACATGCAGAAGTTAAAGATGCCTTATTCTCAATGGCCCCCGATAAAGCACCAGGTCCAGATGGTATGTCACCAGCTTTCTATCAAGCATTTTGGTCGATTATTGGTTATGATCTCTGCAGACTTATAATTGATTGGTTTGCCAATTGTCACTTACCGGTTGTGATTAATGAGACGAATGTGGTTTTAATTCCTAAAAAACGGGTGCTTGATCGTGCAGACTGAAGATATTGCTTATAGACTGAAGATGGTTCTGGAGCATTGTGTAGCGTTGTGCAGCGTTGCTTATAAAATTCTGGCAAAAGTGATTGCTAATAGACTGAAGATGGTTCTAGATGTTGTTATTTTAGCTACACAAAGCGCGTTTATGCCGGACAGATTAATTACTGACAATATTATTATAGCTGGGGAAGTTGGACATTATTTACGTACTAAGAAGAATTGTCTAACCAGTTGGGCTGTTTTGAAACTTGACATGGCTAAGGCATACAATAGAATGGAATGGCATTATCTTGAGGGGATGTTCTTAGCACTAGGTTTTGATGTTGAATGGGTTAATCGGGTAATGTTATGTGTTACCACTATTAAATATAATATTCTTGTGAACGGAGAAATGGCAGGTCATGTGACACCGGGCATCAGACAAGGGGGGCCTATATCCCCATATCTTTTCATAATTTGCGCTGAGGGGTTGTCACTTATGCTACAACGTTAGGAAGCAATGGGTAATGTTCAAGGGATTAAATTGGCAAGAGGAGTTCCCCCGGTCTCGCACTTATTTTTTTGCAGACGATAGTCTGTAATTTTTCCGGGAAAATGTTAATGAAGTACAGGTTATTCAACAGTGTCTACACACTTATGGAGAAGTTTCTGGACAACGAGTGAACTTTGATAAATCTAGTGTGACTTTCAGTGCTAATACTACTGTCCAAGTTCGTACTCAATTGACAGCCATGTTAGGTGTGCGCCATGCAAGTGATTTTGGGAGATACCTTGGCCTCCCGTCTTTTTTGGGCCGAAATAATACTATGGTTTTTCGTTAAATAGAGCAGCGGGTGAGGGAACGAATAACTTCCTGGAACAAGAAACTGTTATCTAGGGCTGATAAAGAGGTATTGCTAAAGAGCATTGCCCAGGCCATGCCAATATTTACTATGTCAGTATTCTTACTGCCTGCTACGATATATGATGCCATTGAGAAGCTGTTCAACAGGTTTTGGTGGGGTAACTCATCCAACAATAATAGGGGTATCCACTGGCTAAGCTGGTCGAAATTATCAACGCCAAAATCCAACGGTGGTATGGGATTCAAACGCTTGCATGATTTCAATATTGCCCTCTTGGCGAAGCAGGGCTGGAGATTGCTAATAAATCTAGATTCCCTTGTTAGACCCATTTTGAAAGCTAAGTATTATCCACGTACCAACTTTTTGGAGGCCTCAATAGGCCACAACCCAAGCTTTATATGGCGTAGTATTTTTTCTGGTCAAGACTTACTCAAAACTAGTGTAATACGCAGAGTGGGTAATGGTCTTGATACTCTTGTATGGGGTTGGCCATGGCTTGTAGATGATAACCCAAGGCTGGAAAATGGTTGCATCGATGAACTAAAGGATGCCAAGGTGTGCAACTTATTAACGGACAATGGCGAGTGGGATGAAGAGCTGCTACGAGATATCTTTGTGGAGTCTAATGTGGTTCGTATTATGCGCACACCTATTTGACATGAGTATGCTGATTCGTGGAGTTGGAAAGGGGACTTAAAAGGCTTATATTCTATCCGTACTGGCTATCGTCTTCATGTTTCCAACGACATAAACTCCCAGAGTTCACGAAATGGCAAAGGCTTTGGAGCTTAAGTGTACCACCTAACATAAAGAATTTTCTATGTCGTTGTATGCGAGATGTGCTCCTTGTACGAGAAAATCTGCGGTTAAAGCATGTATTTGCAGGTGGTGGCTGTCTGTTGTGCACGACTAGTTCGGAAACTGCTGTGCACCTCTTCTTTGACTGCCCAGTTGCTGCTCAGGTATGAAAACGCAACAACATTTCGAATGGCCGATCCATAATGGCAGTCGTAGAGGATATTTTCAGTATGAATGACGTGGATCAGGATTTGCATTTGGCAGCAAGGTTGTGGAGCCTATGGAAGGTGAGAAATGATATGCTTTGGCATTCTAAGGAGTAGACTATTAATATGATATTAATGCATGCGGATAATTTGGTTGCATTATGACACCAAACTTATGTCAGTGCTCCAGTTGTTAGCCACAGCTTGCCTTCTTCTTCTTCTTGTTCATGGACTCCACCTCCCGAAGGGCGACTCAAGTGCAATGTGGATGCTACTATCATGGCGACTGGTATGGGGTTTGGGGCTGTAATCTGGGATCATTTAGGTAACTTTGTGGCTGCTTATGGTGGAACTTTATGTTGTAATCTTGATCCTTATATGGCACAGAAACATTGGCTATTAAGGAGGCTCTGACTTGACTTAAACAGCGCATTTTATCACATATAATTCTGGAGACGGATTGCTTAAACTTCTGCACCAAAACTATAATTCTGAGTCTGTAGATTTATCATATGTTGGATTATTATTAAAGCAATGTAAGGTTCTTGCTAGGGACATTGACGATGTTGTTGTATGCCATGTCTGAAGGTCAGCGAACCACGTTGCTCATGCGATGGCGAGAGCAACTATTTCACCATCTATCTTTAGTGTGTGGGATATTATCCTAAGTTGTATTTCGGGTTTGTTATGATGAATGAAGTTGTTTGGTTTTTCAAAAAAAAAAAAAAAAAAAGTCATTACTATAGATTTATTGAATCATTATTACATGTTTATTAAATCACTACTGTAAGTCTATTATATAATTATTAAAATGATATATTAAATAAACATATGATTACGAATTTTAAATTATCTTGTTAATGATATACTTTTATACATTAATTTTATTTATTCAACAAGAAATAGAAAAAAAAAACATATTTTAAGTAGATGAATTTACAAATTGTTTTAATGAACCTAAAATTATTATGTGCAATCTATTTGAATTCTTAATAAACCTACATTAGTATCCATGATGCAACATGGACCTAGTCCGCGATATAATGGGGAATCAAGTTCTACTTTCACTTCCTTTTCACTGTATTACAAAAGGAAAGATGCAAATGAGAAAACTTCCATGTTATGAAAATCTCTATATGAATTGAAAGCTTTTGATTTTATGATGTATAATCTCTCTCAATCAGAAACTCTTAAGCAACCTCCTATGAATTGTATTTGCAAATTCAGCAGACCAAGGGGAACTCTGATCAAATGTACTGGGAAAATGCACCCCCTTCAGCGTGTATGTTATCGTTATGTCCATCACTCTCGTCCATCGTGGCAAGCATTGACTGGAAGGGTTGTGATTCTGGACGTGGGAACAATAGCTTCAGTCGGAAAGCATCAACCCCGTTGAGGTAATAGCGGAAAAGCCTCTTTGCTCTAACAAACCCGAGACGCCCATATAATGCAAGTGCACCTTTATTGGTAACTTCTGCTTCCAAAGTCACCTGAACAAGTTCAAATTATAACTCAAACACAAGTTGGTGGATGAAAGTATATGACTGAGTGAATGCACATAACTGAAAATGAATACATCCAATGAGGTTTGTGGAACTAACAACAAATCTTATGCATTTTTGAAGGTGATTGCGGATATTAATTTTCTCTGCTCTCTTGTTTTCAACCCTATGGTCTCTAAATAAACTGTCAACATAGAAGCGTAATTCTATGCTCCTTCTCACAGGGTTCTAAGATCTGCTCTGCGCATACTCGGTCTAATAACAAAGAACCCCAACCAAGAAATGGGAAAAGTGATCTATCAATGAACAGGCAAAATAGTTCATGCATTGCAAACTTTTATAGCACGTGCTCTCTCTAGAATGTTGCTAACTAGAGCATCGTTAGTGGCATACCTCTTCACAGCCAGATTCCATCATTACTGCGATAGATCTTGTGACAAGTTCTGTGGCTAAAGCAAGGAAACAGTAGGTTAGAAATACACAACATGGTAAAACTCAAGTGTATAATAAAACAGAATTTGAAATTTGATAGTGTTATGGTTGAAGAATTTACATTATGCAAAATACAATTCCAAAGTGCATTCCGATTTTATGCAGTCCATTGCTTTAAACTTCTCAAAGTGTCCATGAACACTCATGTATGTAATTAATATATGCACTCTGCAGTGGCAGACAAATTAAATTCTTGCTTTGTTTGCAATTTTCATCTTGGAAATTCTATTTCCCCATTTTCTGATATTGGGCCTTCAAGGTAAACATAATTTTAAAAATAAAATTTTCAGGCTTAATGTGCAATAAACAAAACCTAAGCTTTAGTCTTGAATTATTAAAGGTATAAAACAGAGTATTAGAGCTAAGATTTCATTTTCAGATTTTTGCTCCATTAGTCATATATCATGACACCCTACATATAATACAAGAGAAAACTACTGTCAATCATATAGATTATCACCAAAGTGGCTATAGCATCCTCTCTAACTCCCAACCTTTTTCTCCAGTGTCTTGTCCTTTCTTCGTCTAAATTCATGCTCTTCACTCCCTCAATAAGAGAACAAGTTATAATTACAAGAAACGGCTAAGATCAGGAAAATTGTTTAAGCACTTTTAGTTAACAAACAGAAAGGCCCAGAAAACAACAAAATATGAAGCACTTCCTCTTGCACATCATTCAACCCCATCCACCCTAGGCCATTAATTCCATCTTAGACCTCCCCAGCCAACCACCACCCCACTTAAGCTCCCTTTGGCACCCCATCTTAGCCCAACCACCTGCCTGATTCATCGCACCTCCACTTTTCCCTAAGCTAAATCCATCCTACCTCTTATGACCGAACCACATCCACCACACACAACTGTATGCTAAACATGTAGCAAATATTTGTCCAGTGTGTGTTCCTATGACGCTACCCCAAGCACCTATCCTTGACAGACACCGACCCCAAACTATTTGATAGGTTTTGGAAAAAAAAAAAAAAAAGTGAAACCAAATATGATGTCGGTGCCATCCTTTAAACAAAAAGAAAGTTGAAAACTTCTTTTTCGTTTTTAAAGCAAAAGAATGCAAACAAAATAAAAAGATTACAAAATAGGCCAAAAATATAAATGTGTTTAGAATTTGGCATGAACCTATAGTTTTTAATCCAGATATTAACTTTATCAACAAAAACTAAATGTGTCAATCACTCTGGACATTACAAGAAATAAGAAATCCTAGAAACAAACACCACCAATTTCAAAAAAAAAAAAAAAAAATCAAATACCCAAACACCAAAGAAGTCTAAAATTGAGTGCCTACAGTTACTGAACAAGACCTCCCCCATGTAAATTTCTTTTCAAACTACCATTCTTAACACCCAATAAAAGCAAAGAAAACGGGGAGTAAGGACACTCACCAATGCCTTTCCCTCTATAAGGCTTGAGAACCACAAGCATTGCAATGTAGCCTCTGAAAGTCCCTCTGTGCTCACCCATCTTGCAAACCACAGTCCCCACACATTTTCCCTTGTGGAAAGCCTAAAGAAATTCAAACCCACCAATCAAAAAAGCAAAATAATAATAATAATAAAGAAAACCTTCTACCCATTACTGAAAACCTCAATCTCCAAGAAAACTTTAAGGGAATTTAAAGAACAAGGAAAAGAAACGTAAAATCTTACGAGAAAAGAGAGGTGAGGCCAGAGATAGACGAAGTAGCGGTAGGTAAAGATGGAGTAGGGTTCGCTAAGCTCTTCATCAACAAGATTCATGATGAGAGGTAAATGATGCTCGCCCCCATAGCTCTCGTACTCTATTTCTGACGCCTCAAAATCGACTTTGCCGTCTTCCTCCTTTGCCTCCATTTCTTGCTGACTGGTTTGGGTTTGGGTTCTGATCGGAATTGGGGTTTTAGACTTTTAGCAATGGAGGGTTATTATCGAAATCTTGTTTGTTTCTTAATTAAGAGGGAAAATGGTATATTTAGTCATCAGTTTCTTAATTAAGAGGGAAAATAGTATATTTAGTCATCAGTTATACATTAGGACCCGAAAAATACTTTATGGACTCTCAATAATTTATTCTCAACTTTTATTTTCATTTATGTTTAATGAGCAATCACATATCAAATTATAGAGGTAGAAAATGGTAGTAAAAATTAAGAGTAGAAGTAAAATTACTCATCATTCAATTTTTTGGTCAACCTAAACCTAAAACAAAAAAGTAAAAAATAAAGTCAATCAAGATAAAAATTAAGTACGAAAAGGAAAAAAAAAAATAAAAAATAAAAAATAAAAACTAAAGTGTCATCCCGCACTATGAATAAAGGATTCTTCATGTCGCATCATGACCTTTTATAACTAATGTTCCGATCCACAAATTATTAAATTTTTTAAGGGCCCACACCATGAAATGTACGGATTCTTCATGCCACACCATAACCTTTCATAACTGATGTTTCGATCCACAAATCATTAAATTTTTTCATCTAGAATTTTTTACAGATTTCTAAGTCACTATGATAACATGACATAGGTTATTAGGCTATTAGTTGATGTGAATCTTCTTTTTAAGTCAACCCCCAAAATCAAACTTGATATGTTTTCTTCTCATCAACACTTCTGAAAATTTTCAAACACGGTTAATAATATTCCAAGCTATGGCGGATTCTGGCCAAAAAGGTTCAATAAGATTATCAAGAAATGACGGCAACATATAAACACGTAAACAATAAGTGAAATAAGAACATAAGATGAGATGCTACAAGCTATGCGCCTATGCTAATGCACGTGAAACGTTACAGTTTTGGTATACCTTCCAACTCAAATTAAAGTACAATCAAATGATCAATTTGACCAGCGAAATAGGAGGCTAATCCAGAATCATCAGGCTAAAACAAGAAAACAGGTTAAAATGTTAACTGAATCAAACTTACAGAATTTTATCAAGTAATGGAAGCATTTTATATCCCCACTCACTTTATCTGATCCTTCAAAGTTTTTCAAAGTCAGAAATGGTGGCAGAGTAAACCAGCATTGAAGAGGGGAGATTTAACTCGATAATGCAACTTCATTCTAAAGTTGGCAGCTAAGTTAAGGACAATGGTTCTTAATTCCTCTATAATTACGATATGATGCTCATGGATATAATAATTACACACATGTTCTTAATATCAGCTTAGCTTCTCTGCGGCCCAACCTTGGGGTGTCAACAGTAAGAGCTATAGCCTTGAATCCTGCCCTTTCAGCTCTTCTAACAAGTTGAGCAACAACATTCTTGTCCTTGTAAGCCTGGGCATCAGAGAGAATACATTTATTAGAAACACATATCCAGATTGTCACATTTAAATGAGTTTCATGCTTACATAAAGCTGGAAAAAGCATATGCCCGGTCCAGTTGAAGCCACCTCCTCAACACTGGACGTAGCCCAAGATGACAATTAATGTCTGAAACAGATTTGAAATTCATAAACAAATTGATATATATATATATATATATATATATATATATATATATATATATATATATATATAATAGTATATGCTGTTCTAGATTAGTTAGAATTCATAGTTTTATTGATTAGATTGCTGGGGAACCTTATCTGCTAATAAATCCATCATTTTTTGTACTAAATTACTACATATACAGATAATGAGAGACTTACCATAGTTGTTCCAGCTACTAATGCAGCACGTGTAGTAGGATATTCGACGTTCATGGCGGTGAACCTCGACATCTGCTACGTCACCATCTCTGACGGCCTCCCATCGGAGTGGGATAGGGCGGTGAACCACGACCAGTTCATGACCGCGCTCCTGCATGGCTGGAGAATGTGTTATAAGAAAAAAAAAAAAAAAAAAAAATCCATGTTAGTATATATTACCTGTAACCTGTACAAAATTCGGCAAAAAAAAAAAAAATTAATGCTTTGTGGATTGAAACATCAGTTATAAAAGGACAGGGTGCATTATGTAGAATCCGTTATAGTTCATGGTGCATGATGACAGTTTAGCCAAAAAAAATTACCCAAAGTCAAAAGAGTTGTGTTTTGTGAATTTTCCCAACTTAGATTGTTGGGTGGAAAAATGAGTGAAGGACCAAATGTTAAAAGAAATTAAATAGTCGTGGACAAAAATTTAAAATCTTGAAAGTTAGAGACTTAATTTGGGAGAGTATCATAGTCAAGGGTCTAATTTTTTTTAAAAAAATAAAATAAAACTTTTAATAATTAATTAATTATCATGTCTATTTTTAATTTCTCAATTATTTTTGAAGTGATAGTTTTTGTTTTTATTAATATTCTAATAATTTAGACTAAATTTTTTTAAAAGAAAAAAAAAAAAAAAACTTAAGGATCATGCTACCGAACCAAAAATTAAAAAAATAATAATAAAAAATAAAAAACTACTAAAATCATTTATCATCTAACATGGTGATATAATTAGATTTTGTTTTTAATTAGGATAGAATCAACAAATTAAAGTAATCAAGGCATAAAAATAAATTTTTGTCATATCAAATGATGAAAAAATTTTAACCTGAAATTTTATTCAAAACTTAAATAGTGGGAAAAACATGAAGATTTGTTGTTCTTCATTCTCAGAGAGCGTTATGCCCTGGACCCGTGTCCACTATGTGTATGGTGGACACATTGTACATTCATAATTTTTATACTATACATTTATAATTTTTATACTGTAGATTCATAATTTTTATACTGTAGATTCATAAAATTTATAATGTAAATTCATAATTTTTATACTGCACATTCATAATTTCTATACTGTAGATTTATAATTTCTATACTGTAGATTCATAATTTTTATACTGTAGATTCATAATTTCTATACTGCACATTCATAATTTCTGTACTGTAAATTCATAATTTGATAACTATGTGTTCATAATTTGATACCTATACAGTTTAAAAATTATGAATCTACAGTACAGAAATTATAAATATGCAGTATAGAAATTATGAATCTACATTATAAATTTTATGAATCTATAGTTTAGAAATTATGAATGTACAGTATAGAAATTATAAATGTACAATATAGAAATTATGAATATACAACGTGTCCACCATACACATGGTGGACACGGGTCCATAGCATAATTTACCCATTCTCAGTAGGAGAAGTGTTATTAGTGCTTCAATAAATTTATTTGACAAACTTAAGTTTTTGTTTAAATTTCTTTATGGCAGAAGTGTCAAATAGGCCCATCTACTCCTCTGTAATGCTCAATTTACACCTTCATCTAAAATATGTTGTAATTAGGCACACTTACCCTCTAATTTTGTTCAATTAGACTTTTTTGTAGGTTACCATCCATTTTTGATGACGTGGCACGGTTACAATTACATGTCATTGATTACATGGCATTACAATAATAAAAATAAGAAAAACAATTAGGCCAAATCTGAATTAGTAATTAAAAACCTGATTTTTCCTAAAATTTATTTCTCAGTGCAGCGTCTTCCTCGACTCCTCCGCATCCTCATCCAACAGCTTCAATGTCTTCTGCAACTCCGTCTATCACAGCCTCTCCTCCAGCATCTATCACTACCGCCGACGCGTCGGAGCTTCGCAATTCATTATGTCTGTCGCAAATCCTTAAAACCGCCGCTGCGAATTCCTCTAATATAATAACCGCTACTCTCATCGTCGTCGTCGTTGCGGCGGCTGTTGCTCGAGCCCGTCTTCTACCGCCATCATCGAGTCGACGACTTGGATATGGGAAGGCGGGCGGACGGCGTTAACGGCGGGGTGTTATTTCCTCCTGGTGTTCTTCTTCACGTCGCTGCTGGAGTCGATTTTGGCGTGGGCGGTGGGGGGCCGCCGTTGATGATGAAGTCGCTGCTGGCGTCGATTCCAACTCGAATCTCGATCTCATGACCCCATACTCTATTGCTCCAGGGACGCTACGATGAACATCGCAGAGGGTATTTTGCCTCACAGCTACGGAAAAGTGATTTTTTTTGAAGAAAATTCACTTTCTTCCCCCAATCCCACCTTCCCTTATCTCTCACTGAACTTGAACTATCTAATCTCCCATCTCTGGGTTGGGTGTTTTTCTTGTGTCAAATGGTTTATTTCTTCAGATTTTGAGTTTGCTGGTTTGGGAACTGTGGCGTTTTGAGATTTCACCATTGCCCTGCATGTGAGAGTATTTTTTCTTTTATGTATTTCCCCTTTTGGTAATATGAAGCTAAGAACATGGAAAACTGTGGGTCTTTACTGGTTTTAAAGAAATAGCAGGAACAAAAAACTGATGAAGAAGAAAATAGCGATAGTCATTGTATACTTAATTTGATTAGAAAATGCTTGCTTAGATAACAACAAATGGTGGGTGTGTTGATGATGAAGGCGGGGTCGCCATTTATTCTGGTGGGTGTTGATGATGAAGGCGGGGGTGGAGGTGTCACCACAAATTTTTTTTTTTTTTTCATTAAATTTCGTGTCATTCATTTTGACTGGCAACCGGACTCAAACCTGTAAAAAATGCTATTTCAATAATTTTAAGAAGTTAATGTGCCTAATTGCAACATATTTTAGATGAAGGTGTAAATTGAGCACTACGAAGGAGTAGAAGGGTCTATTTGACACTTCTGCTTTTCTTTATTGATTGAAGAATGGTTGACACTTGACAGTTCTATGTTCTAAATAGAGATATTCAACTCATACAACAATTCCTATACAAGTCCATGCTTAAAGAAGAGACTTGTGCAAATCTAGTTTTCAAAATCTATTGGACCTTTCTAGGCAAATTATACTGTGGACTATAAATAAACAATAATTTTTAATATATTGAAAGTACATTATTTGTGTAGTGAATGTTTATTATTTGGTATATTACTAAATAATGAACCTTTAGTACACACATAATGTACTTTCATGAAAATAAATATTTAGTGTATTAAAATGTACTTTTAATCATGATTGAAAAAATCGCTAGGTACTTCTCGGGCACT